GCATGCCTCATCTGACTAAAGTGTTCTCAAAAACCCAGTCCTACTTCATCACACCTTACACTGTTTTTCCCTTGATTTTACTTCTGCAAAGCAACTGGCATTGCTTACTTCAACTAATGTGAAGAAAAACAGCTTCTTCAATACTTAATTTTAAAATAATTCAAAATAAGTCTCTGTCTTGTGATCTTTAGGCTGTTGATATAGTTATTTTTTTTGTTCTGAAAGTACATGAGAACATCCAGCAAATTTCATATTTACTTAAATATGGCTAATTAGTATATAGAACCTCATTTTCATATCATTCTTCATCTTTTCATCACCTATTTTCAGAATGGTTGCCCAAGTATGTGCAAAAATACAGCCACTTGTAGCTACTTTATTAATTAGACTTTGACTGCTATTTAATAGTCTTTTGGGATGGAGAAGTCTTCTGAGACATCTGGCAGCATAGTGGAGGCTCCTTAGTGACTGTTGTTCTCAGAAGCTGCTGTTAATAAAAAGGAAAGCAAAATTTGCTGGGAAAGAGCATAATCCCCACAGAGGCTGTATGTAAGTTATTTGTTATCATTACAAAATTTATTTTTATCTTTTACTCAGCCTGTTCGNCCTCCCCTTTCCCGGTGCCGCCGCCGCCGTCCCCCGCCGGGCGGTCCCTGCGCCTGAAACAGCCGTCGAGGAGCCCTCGGGCAGCGCCTTCCCCTCTTTCTGCCCTAGCTAGCTGTGGCGGCTGTTCACGCAGCCTTGCACCTCCACCTTCGGCTGCCCTCCTCGGGCTCCCGGCCCCCACCTCCCCGGAGACACGCTGCTTTTCGTCCCGCTGGGTCTGGACCTCAGCTGTTCCTGCTCATGGCCAGATGGCAGTGCTGATGCCCTTTCGTATTGCTTCGAAAAAGTGAAAAACTTCATCTCGACTGTTTTTCCCCTTGCGGGTCTAGAATCTCTATAACTACCTCTGTGTCCTAAAAATGTTGGCTGACATAAAAAGACAGAAACAAGTGAAATAAAAGAAATGCACCCTCAAGGAAGTACTTCAGCTGTGGGTACTTAAAGGGTGATTTCAAAGCCTGGATTCCTCTCAGGTTTGTTGTACAGGAGGCCTGAGTTCAGTGGCAGCCATAGGAATCCAAGTGTCTAGAGATACCCTGGCTCCAGTGTGGGCATCCTAGAAATTTGAAGCTCCACGCATCTGTCTGTCTCCCACATAGGGCCCAGCAGGCTCTTGCTGACAGAGGCGGTGGTCTTTGGATTCCATGCAGAACAATGTGCTCTGTGGAAGTAAACTTTACTTCTGGATTTGTTTGTTCACTTGTGGTTGGCTGTTTTTATTTTTTCCAGCACAACAGGACAAGAAGTGATTGCTGCCATCTTTTATAAAAAGTCATACTGTAGAGAATCAGAAAAGTTCATCTCTCTTGAAATACTCTGAAGATGTTGTTTACAGGTCATGTTGCATGAGGGCTATGCTTTCAATCTCTTGAGTATTGTTGGCATATTAAAAAACCCCTCAAAACTCCATCTAGAAGGAGAGCACACAGAAGACACACATTTACAGACATGTAGAAAGACATGTAGAAAGGTGCATGATCGTGCTAGCAGAGAAGTTATAGACTCCATTGTGCTCCTCAAGGAGGACTTGGATGTTTTACATTGAGCTGACCTAGAACAAGGCTGTGGAGGGCTGAAATAGTGAGTAAAGTTGTTGTGGTTTAACCCCAGCCAGCCACCAAGCCCCACACTGCCACTCGCTCATTCCCCTGTTAGCATGACTGGGGAGAGACTTAGAAAAGTGAGAAAAGTCATCACAGTTTAATAGGGAAAGCAAAACTTGCACACATAAGCAAATAAAAACAGGAATTGATTCAGTGTTTCCTGTGGGCAGGCAGGTGTTCAGCTATCTTGGGAAGACAAACACCATCACTCCAAATGAACCCTCCTTTCTCCTTCTTCCTTTCCCCCCCCCTCTTCATATACTAGCATGACATCCCTTTGCTCATTTTGGGTCACCTGTTCTCGCTGTACCTCCTCCCAGGCACCCCCAGTCCCCTCACCAGTGTGGCAGTACCAAAAGCAGAAAAGACCTTGGCTCAGCAATAACAAAAACATTATTATTATTATCAACTCTGTTCAGCACAAATCCAAAACACAGGCCAACACCAGCCACCAAAGAAAATGGACTCCACTTCAACCAAAACCCAGACACTTTTCTTTTTTGGTCCAGTCTTAACTGTTTAAACAGTGGCACCTCTTCAACAGTAGGCACCATCATCCAGAGCGTTGCTAGGATGTGATCCACAGAAGTGGAGGCTGCTAATTTGAAACTCCCTAAAAACAAACCTTGATCTGTTCCTTGCTCAGCTGAAGTCTTACCTGCAACTTCTGCTACAGACAGAAGTTGTGCAGGGGTGATTACAACTTGCATTTTGAGAGCAGCACCTTGATTTTGTTGGTCTCTCTGTGGACTTTTTCTGAAAATACCGTCACATCAGGCAGACTTCTGAAGGGACTGTAAGTAGTCTTCAGACAACAGATTTGTTTTCAGTGACTAGAAAGCTGTAGTAATGTGAAAAAGCACTACCAGGAGAAGGAAAGAAGAAAAGTACCTCCTGAGTTGGGCAGTGACTAGAAAAACTACTAGTCAAAACAAAACGTGCAGAAGATTAATAATATTTAACAAATCTGAAGTAACTATGTAACTCAGTGTTTGTTTTATAAAGAAGGAAAAACAACAGCAGAGCAAAGAAACTAATATCCATTCATGATCTATAAGATGTTTCAAGGCAAGCACATCCAGTGAACTGGCTCAATGCAAGTATTTTGTGTCTTCTAATTTCTAAAAAAAAAAAGTAAAGATAATTGTAATATTTCTCTCTTGCACTAAATTATTAATCTGTTGAGCAATAGCAAAGGTTATAGAAGGTAAAGGAGGTTTCAGGAAAACTTGGTACTAAATAAAAAAGATGTCCTTTAACAATACCTCAGTAGCCTTGAATACCTTGAATTAAAGGCGTATTCCCATGACTCCCAAATGTCAGACAAAGAAAACAGGCAATAAGGCAAAAAAATTACTGATTTCATTAGACATTTTCCAGAGACTTTGTTTCAAATTCATGCAATTCACTGCTGCAAGAACAACTTAGTTTTTGAAAGCTGTCCAAACGTGCATTTAAAGTATTTCTAAAGTTTGCTTAGTACCATACAGGATTCTGCAAGGAATGGGAAATACCCCTGCATCAATGTTATTGGTGACCAAGCACAAGCATTACCCAGTTACTTTCATTAGAGCGTTGCGCAGTTTAGAAAACAGCGTATCTTAAGAAAGCTCATAATTAAAAAGAAATCCATGCATTTTTCCATAATGAAGTCCAAGTCTGATTAAGAAAATAAATAATAATGCAGAAACAGTTTTGTTTGTGTATTTCCACGTAAGTGCTTTCCCCTTCTTTTAAAAGCAGTGACAGCAGTCAGCAATAAAAAGAACTCCAAAACATGTAGGAAGGGGCCCAAACTGGGGCCAAAGTGACTTTACTTGTTTCTCCTCAATACATATATATCTCAATACATATATATGAGATATATATATCCTCATATACACTATCACAACCAGATAAACAAGAGTGAGGTGAAGGCACCTGTGGCTTGCAGGTGGCATGCACTTCCTTGGGTTCTGTAAATGAGACACATCCGTGATTAGAACACAGCTTAATTTTGACATCCTAATCACGACTGACTTCTCACTTTTCCAGAACAATCCTGCTCCAAATGACACTGATTCAGGAGATATGGCTATCAGACATTATAACCAGAAAAACCCAACAGAATTTAGGTGGGAAGAGTAGTGCCTTCAGGCCAGAACAAGCTCCCCCTGGAATTGCTCTCCTTTTTTTCCCCAGTGATTCATGGAAACAAAGACAGTTGTTGTGATTTATTGAAGTAAGTCTAAAAGCAGAGGCCAGTTGAGCACAAATGACAAAAAAGGAGCAGGAAGTTTTAGGTGCTTTATTTATTTCCATAACAAATATCACGATTATGGGCAACATGTGCTGTAAACACGTATTTCCCCAATGTAAACCTTGTCACTGATAAACTCCTGTTTTCTTTCTCTGTCCTCTGAAGGAAGTTACACCATTCAGTTATTCTGTATCTGTCACTATGTGACAGATATGACTGTGCACAGCACATGCAACCATTTTGATTAATACACTGTCAGTAGAATAACTAACTCTGCAACAAAGAATGAGCCTCTTCAAAACAAAAGCATGCTTTTTTTTAAAAAAAAAAGAAAAAGTAAAGCAAACAGTGAAAATAAGGGCAATAAAGGTGAATAACGCTTAACTCCTTGATGATTTTTGGCATATTCTATATAGCCCACTTTAATCTATATCTGGGTTAGACCATCTTGCTTAGAGCCTTTTCCTTAATAAATTTGGTGTAATTTACTGATTCTGTGTTATACTGAATTGAACTTATCACATTTAAGTCACATTTTGGTGTGGAGTCTTGCAATAGATTAATGTTATTGATCTAAATTCAAACTTTGGGGGGAAAAAAAATAAATTTAGTTTGGATAGAGTAATATATAGCTACTTTATTATCTCCTAAAACTGTTACCATTATTTTGCTCCCTTTAACACTGGCATTTGATCAAACACCATAGCCAGGAACCTGTCATGAGCACTCAGCTACTGATTCCTAATTCACATTGGATACAATTAGGGTATTTCCTAAGTTCCTAAGATTTATGAGTAAAACTGTTGTGTGGTCTGTTAAAACCAATCTTTTTTGAAAACGTCTTTTACGGGAATAAAACGTGGGCTAAAAGGCACAGACATAGAAATACCCCAAAAGGCTGGTTCAATTGTTTTTCATTTTTGGAAGAAAGAGTATCAATAGATGACAGATATCAAAACATACAAGACTTCTTCAAAATTAAAGGAAGGTGGATTTCAGAACTCGGAGGAAGCATAGCAAACACTCTGTTAGTCAAAACAGAGCAAGAAAGGGGAGTACTTGTGTTCATTTTATTACACTGACTATTAAAACACATCCCATTTGAAATCAGTTACAGACAGTATGCATTGTCAACCTGCAGAAGACAGAACCAATTACAGAAGTGACTGAATGCAGAAGTGAGTGCACTTTCAGAAGTCAGACTGTGGAAACTGTGCTATTAATTTCTTCTATATTCAGAAGCTTTTGTTTCATTATATATTTGCCTGTCTTACTGTAACAATATTCTAAGTTTAGTTAAGTAGTCTTCAAAATCATGTTTGGGGCATTATCTCCAGCTGGAATTTAATTTTTAAGTCAACAAATTGTCAATACAGACTTCAGCTTAATTCATTTTTGGATGCTTTTTGAGCATTTGTTTTTCATTCCACAATTAGATTAATGCTAGAATAATTTCCATCCAGAACACAAAATAATCTGTTTCTAAACAAGATTTCCAATACAGAAAGATTAATTTTTTTCCAAGTGTGGCATCAGAACATTAAAGTACACTAAAACTATATTCTCAGTATCTACCATGCTAGAGTAAAGGCATGGAAAAAATCCCACAGTTTTTCAGTACTTACAAGGCCACTTGGATCTACCCATTATAAAAACATGCATTAATAATTTTGCTTGCTGTTAGCCAAAGTTAATATTCATCTTAGTAGTGAAACTCTGATTTCAATTATAAAAAACCAAATTATCCTGAGTTTCAGAATGTTGGACAAGCATGATAAAGACTCAGGAAATAGCTACATAATTTGTTTCCTCTTTTTCAGAAACTATCTCTGCTCATACTTTAACACAGTTTTCCCTAAGAGTAAAACACACAGTTAGCAAATTATGTGTTTACTTCTGAACCTACTTCTGATAAAAGCTGTTTATTCCATCAGAATTTGGAGCAGAGATGGTGACTTCACTGCCTAAAGAACAACAAACAAAAAGTGTCTTATTTTTCAAAAAAACTGACTGCCTGCTCCTGACTTCAAGTTGAGCTGTGTATCCTGAAATACATTTGAAATCGGTATCTATTTATTTATATAATTTATATATATTTATACAAACTTAAAACTGCCAATTACCATACTGTGTTAGGTCAGCACCAGACATTTTTATTGCAGGTGAAAGTTATTTTAAGACTCTGAATAGACAATGCAAATTCAGTATTTCATTATAATCAAGGAAAATATACTACAGAACAAGGAATATTTTAAAGACATACATATAATATGAAACAGATTTCTTTTGAAAGTACGATTAAAAAAATTAATTTTTTATAAGAGCTCATAATCTTATCAAATTTTTAATGATTTATTTATGTTGAAATGCAGTATCATAATCACATTTCAGATATGCAGCTTTAATACCATCTTCCTATTTTTCTCTGAATAAATTGTTCTGAGATATTCTGATCTTCTCCAAATCCTCAAATGTGAGAGGTCCTTTTGGCAATTCTAGCAAAGCGCTCTGTGTATCAAGTATGTTCTCTGCTTCACCTATTAAAAAAAAAAAAAAAAAAAAGTCAATTTCCTCAGCCTTACAGACAGAAAGCAAAGAATGAGGAAAAAAACATAAGAAACTAATTTAGCTATTCTTGTTTGGACCACATTAGCAAAATAGCACGTCTTAGCTATCTATTTCACAAACAATCTGATGTCAATATATCAGCAAAGTCGTCTCTAAGGAACTTCGGACCGGTGGGGTAATTAGGAATCTGAGAAGAAAGTGGATCAGACAAACACATGAAGGTGTACACATAAGTTTTAACAAGTAACCACAGTGCTACAGATGTACCGTATTTGGGCACAGTTTTTCTTGTGCCTCAGGACTAGCCTGAAAAGTGTCAGAATGTGGGCAGCACAGGACTTGAAGAAGCATTGGTCAAAGCACACTGCTCACAAAAAGGTTTGCTAAGACAGTTACTGAAACATGAAGCATAGCAGGGAAAAGTTGTAGAGTGCAAAATGCTCTGGGTAAGCCTGGAATGAAAACTTCTAGGACAGAGAATCCAAAAAACAAAGATACAGACTGAACATCATACACAGGTTGTGGTGGTCTGATTGTGATATAAGAAGAAGATTAGCCAAAGAATGCATTTGTTTTGGCTCATGCCATTTGGCACCATGCCAAAAAAATCTTGTTTATCTATGCCTCAAGTCCCAGTTTGGTGATTCTTATAGCAGTGGCTTGAAACTGTTTGAAAACTTATGTGTGATCAGCCTGACTAAATATTGCAATGCAGTCAAGGTTGCAGTCATTCTAGAGAGGAGGTCTGAGTGTTGACATCTCCCAGCTGTCATTGGTATGCTCCTACAGTGCCTGGGACCATTGGTAATATCCAACACTGGTTACCACTCCCACATCAGTCATTTGCATATAGCATCTGATTATGAACTAGCAAGAGATCCTGGGGACAGAGATATAGATAGGCAAATCTCTGTGTCTGTCCCTCACATGTACTAAAGGATATTGCCCCACTCACTGCTCAGGACATAAGAACTCAGCTATGTAAATCTTAGAAAAGGTAGCCAGAATTCCATTGCTTAGTGGAGAAGTTCTGTGCAATTAGAGGCTGGCCATAAAATCTCCTCCAATAATTTGTATGAAAAACACCACAAGTGTGCACTGGACTGGGAGGAAAAGCAAAACAGCAAGGCCATGAACACAGATAGCAGGTCCATGACTGATTCTTTGCGTCCTCAGAGGTTTAGAATACATAGTTTGATGGCTGTTCTGTAACCCTGACACATCCAAAAGATTAGGTCCTGATACACAGGTCTGGAAACTTAGGGCTTTCCAACAGCACAAGAAGAACTTAAAACAGCTATTTCCCTCTATGTTGTCAGTTTAGAATTTTAATTAGCCCAAGCTATATAGTGGGAAAAAATACCCTTCTAATATTTCAGTGTGGAAGACTACTAAAATAATGAGATAATTCTTGGTCAAGTAGGCTAGAGACAGAAGAAAAAAAACTGTAAACAAGATCAGAGATAAAATGCCTAAAGAAAGAGAAACAATGAAACCTTTCAGGGGTACAAAACAATTCCAAAGGATGAAAGGCAGCATATGCAAACCTATATGATCAAGGTGGCTCAGATACAAGGTTCACCATGCAGCACAGAAACTGCATATTATTTTAGGAGAGGGAATTGGCTATGAGGTTGATGATAGGCATACCCTGGAGGAAAGAGACCAGATAAAGAAAGAACAGTAAAGAGAACAGCATATATGTTCATTGTTACACCAGACAGATTAAGCACGGCATGCACCAACAGAATAAATAGACAAGCAGAGAAGTGGTTGGCAAAGCCATGAGAGTGAACATGGGGATCAGTTGAGTATTGAGAATAAGTGTTGTGGCTGCAGGTCAATTGTGTCATAAAACCTTCTCTTCAACTACGTAATTTTAACCTTAAAATAAAAATGAACTCCTGAACCTCATTTCCAGACCAGATTCAGTCAGGCTATTCCACTTCCTTTTAATCTAGTGCTGATATTGGTAATTAGTTTAATTTCCTACTCTTACTTTCCTTTATTCCATCCTTTAAGTAGGATCTGTAGACCCAAATCTGTCATGTCTTTTTACAAAGCTAAACAAATTAATCACTTTTTTTTTCTCTTGCAAGGCAGCTTGTCATTCCCAATAGTTTTAGCTCTTCAGTATAATTCCAGATTCCCTTTACAGAAGTGATCTAAATTACATGCAAATTTCCACAGGAGTTATTATTTTCCTGCACCTTCCCATTTGTACTCTTACTTGTACTAAGGTTGTGAAATATGCATCCCCAGAAATATTCAGAAGCCTTTCGGACATTTTCCTGGGCAATTTGCTATACATGATCTTAGGTCTGAGTAGGGGGCTTGGACCAGACAACCTTCAGAGATCCCTTCCAACCTCAGCCATGTTGTGATAGTAGGAAACCATGCTTGATGTTTCTAGACTTTGCTCAACTCTCAATTTCATCACACCATTGGATTATACTCATTCCGCGAGCATCGGCATTCAAGTTTTTCCTTTTTCTACTATTTCCATCTGGTGAGCTCTGGTGGCAGAAATCCCTATCAGTCCCTAGTTTTTTCTGACATTATCAAATTGAATCCTATTTTGTTGTCTCATTTCTTCAGACCATCAGCTCTTCTTGCACTACAGTTCATTTCTTCTCTGTTGATGAACTTACTCAAGTTTGTCAACCAAAGATTTGATCAGGATAACCTAGTCATAATTTCAGCTATAACACAAATGGAGATCCAGGCCAAATATTGAGGAATATTGTAACAACCCTGCTGAAGCCTAACCTTCCTTTTCAAGCACAAAATTTGGTATCATTTCTTTATTCCCAAGCTTACCTGTTTATTAATTCCCATGTCTTTCACATTAACTTAATCTTTAGGTAATACCACATCAAGTGCTTTCATGAGTTTATAATGGATCTACCACATTTCTTCTGTCCAAAAAAAAAAACCATTCTGGAAAAGACAGAGTTAGTTTGGCATGTTCGATTTTATTTTGTATTCAGCTCCACGGTTTCTTTTCTGCACAGCACTTTCACAAGCCTTTCAAACTGCTGAAGCTCTCCTAGCAAATCTGAAGGGATGAAGACGACTTCCCATTTGGAAAGCAATAGGACACCATACTGCCCCTCTTCAATCTGTACACAACTGCACGGTACACAGTAAACTCATTACATACAAATCCTAAATTCCAAGTGCTAATTCTGCTCTGTGTACTAATCTCCCTTTCAACACCTTGATTTACAAGAACTGCCCCTTCTTCCCTTTGCTTAGCTTCATATTAAATCATAGCTTCATATTAATCCCTTCATACTAAAATCCAAAGAAGTTTGTTGAATGCTGTTGAGGAAACGTTCACAGGTATACACTCCTGCATCACCTAAATGTATTTGCACCTGCATGCAGCAGAAACTACTGTCTAATTAACCTACTGCTATTTTCAGTGAAGCATACAGAGTAAGGAAAACGAAGGGCTAGATCTGGAGGCTAAAGATCAAGAGCTGAAACAAATTTTTATTTTGTTTCAATATGGTTGTGCCAGTAGCATACAAGACAAACAAGCTAGTTAACTAAGACAATTTGTGAAGTTGACAAGCCATGGCCCAATGCTGTCTTCACCTGCAGTCAACACTCACTGAGCCAGTCTCCTTCACTAGGAATCAGAGTTAACATAAATGCATCTCCATAAACTTTAACACAATGTATATAATTTAATCACATAGATAAGGGACAAGTGTGAAGCAAGAGCCTGCTTTCTGGGACTCACCTTTCTTCTTCAGTCTTAGCAGGACACTGCAGTGATGTCATCACCTGACTACTGTGTTTGGTCATGGAGGTGTAAGGCTGTGATTCATGTCTGCATTCCTTCATTTTGTAATCCCAAACTCTTTCCCCAAAAAACAGCATTGGAGTGGAATTCAGAAGGAAATCACCAGATCTGTCATTTCTCCCAAATACGCAGTTCTTGCATCAGCTGTATTTATAAGCTTAGCATTCAAATATTTTGAAACAAGAGGAGAAATTGACAGTCTTAACTGAAAAGAAGTGCTGTAAAAGTACAGTGAGTACTCTTGACTAGCAAAATATTTGATTTTAACAGAAGATAAAAATGAGACATAATATTTATGTCCAAAAAAACCCAAACATCTTTTACAAGTTTTCTCCTAGCCATTGAAAAAAATGTAACAGGTTAACTGAAGCTTGGTTCTACATGAGAACAGGACAGACTTACATACCTTTGATCCTTTGCAACAGTGTCCCATAGCCCACATCATAATGATAAGAAAATACAAAGCCTAAGGGAAGTATTGGCAGTAAAACTGCTGGGTTCTTCCTTTTTATTGCTCTGTGCAAGAAAAAAGAAAAAAAATTATTTAGCATATTCAGCGTATCAGCATTGTTACTTTAGGCTGATCTTAACTGTCTAGACTTTTGTATATTTCTGAAGTCTCTAATCAAAGAACAAGTCTTCATTTTTTCAGAAACATTTGTCTTCTGGTTGCCTTCTTTCTCAACCCAAGAGTATTTTAAAAACGCAATTGTGATTTTTGAATATATCTAACAATATGATCTAACTCAGCATGCATGTGCAGTCACATATACCCAGCCACTTGCAACATGTAACAATGTAGATTCTATGTTCATTTCCAAATGCATCTGGGTCTACAGAGAACACATAAAACATAAGGTGCATTTAATCTTCACCATGTACACAAACCCAAAAATATTTCCTACGTTCCTTCTAAACATGTTACAGCACAAGAAAAACATACTATCAACCAAAAGTACTGTAGGGCAAGCTCTTCCCTATGCAATATAGCTTTATTAGCCAGGCTTCTTTTTCCCTTGGGTCAGTTGATCCAAATTTAAGTGACTAGACTTCAGAATATGTCCACTTGTTCACTGCATTTAAAAAACCCAGATGGAGGATATGCTACTCACTATCTGTTCATTAAATCTCAGTGCAGACAAAAAAATAGCATGGCTTTTAAATACTCCCCTTCCACACATAACTTTTATTTTACACTTTTGGTACTTCTATTTTAGACTTTTGGTACTTCAGATATGTCATTTTATTGTCAGCTCATGTCTCTGCTTTGAAATAAATCTGCAATACAGATATAACAAAAACACATTCAGAAGCAGACAGAATTCAGAGTCCATTTGTCATTTGATCAATCTCTGAGCAATTACGGATAAAAATAACTACTTGTTGTAAAGCAAAAGCAAGATCCAGAAAAATAGAAATATATAATTTAAAGTATTATAATTTTATGATTATAATTTAACATATATTCATATCTTCTGTTAGGGAATAAAGTTCATACCCAGTTGTTAAAACAACAGCAGCAAGTCCAAAAAATGTCCCAAAGTATTTGAGAAATTCTCGTGTCCAAGCAATCTGCATGGCTGTTTGTCTCTCTCTCATTAGGTTCTGCAGGACTAGTTGCCTTTCCAGCTAAAGAAGAGAGATAGGTTAAACAAAATTAAGTAATCCATATATTTTAAGACTGACTCAATCTCTCAGTGGTCTATAAATCCGAAACACTAACAAAGAAAGCAATCTTTCATGGCTTTTGATTGAGAATGGTCTTCTTCAGTAATAGTTTACACCAAGAAAGCATTTAGGTCAATTAGCAAAAGCTTTGATGCAGAATACTTCTAAATGTGCTTCTCAAGGTCCAGACAACCAAAACTGCAGTGTTAAGTTTTAACAGGTATCGAAGTCCCAGCAGGACTCTCTAGATTAAGATTCTCTGACCTTCGCAGTTCCATGGCGATCCATAGAGTACCTGCATTCCCAATTAATTCTGCTTAATTCTAATTTAGTTGTAGTAATTTTAGAGTGAATCTTGACACCTCTTTGCCATCCTCATGATGCATCATAAAGCTAATAAGTCTCCTGCAAAACCACCATTACAAATATAGAAAAACACTGAAGACAACAGATCTTTTATAGATCCTGAATATATATCGAAAGTCCATAAGGAAATACTTCTGTAACTAAAATTAAAACAATAATGTAAAAAGTACAATCTAGTCAATATATTCACGTGTCCAAGTAGGACTTTCTCTAGTAAGAAGAATAAAATAGTAGAAGAATAAAAAAGTAGACTTTTTTTTTTTTTTTTTTTTTTTTAATTACATGCCCTGTCTAAACCTACTGGTACATTTTCATTAAGTAAGGTAAATTCTGTATTTCTCAAAAGTTCCTCTCAACTATGCAGAACACAAAAAAGAATTTCCTTCTTAGAGTGATGAAAAATAAGAATTGTGCAAAAATAAGCAGTCTGAAACCAGAGTGGAGAAGTTAGTTAACAGAACAAAAAGAAATCTTCTTCTATAAACAGCAATGTTTATAACTCATGTTGTGGGGAAAAAACTGAGTATGTGGGTTTGCATGTCTAGGCTAGCTAACCAGGTTGGATGAAAGTTCAACAAGGTACAGGAAGCAGAATACCAGCTGCCTAAAAGAGTGTATTCTAGGGAAAAAAGAACAAAGAGTGAATTCAGAAAGCTCTCTTCTAATGAATCTCTAAAAGTAATTAAATATGTTCTTTTCTCCAGCTTTCTAATTCAAGAATAATTTAAAGGATTTGTAATTACTTAAGGTTTCCACCCATTTATTCATCTCCATTACTATTGATTTAGCCTGAACAGAACAATTTCTGTTAAATTGTTACTAATTATTTCCTCAGATTATGTTGATCTTGCTATCTTATTTACAAGTTAATTCAGTACCTAGATAGGTAGAAATAATTTTGAGATAGCATAATGAAAAAAGGACAGATCTAATTACATATAATTGTACACAGTAGGAAAAACAACATTCACTATAGTCTCACAGTACTATTTCATCTGTTTCTCTTTCCTCAAGACTTACATTGCAATTGTTGTTCTCACAAAAAATATCAACAGGCTTTACCTTTCTGATAGCCATAATTTTCAGATTTCTTTGTTTTGTTTTGTGTTATTTTTTTCAGAAGAAGTAATTATATAATGGCTGACAAACCACTTAATAAAATATCAAAATAATTAGATTTTATTTTGTCACCTACAAGACAGTTGGAAATTCTAAAGTAAACAAGTACACTGCCCATTAATTAGACCCATTTTGGTCCCAGATATCCTAAGCCTGGTAAATTGCTGAGGGCTGACGTGATAAGATAAAATAATGACATGTAATATCCTTTTAATGACTTTATTTTCATCTTCAGTATGATTATAGGTGTAGTTTCCACATATGTGAAAAGTATTAAGGGATCCTTTGTTTGCCTGTCAGCACAGAAAAGGGCCTGTGCTTCCAAGATGCACAGTATTACCCTAAATGAGCTTCAATTTGGAGAATCACATGGTAAGGAAGTGGGACAAGGATATGCTGGTGAAATATAGGTCTTGCTAAAGGGAACAATGGAGAAGAAGAAAAGTAGGCAGTTCAACAAAATGCACAGTGTTTAGAAAGAAGTAAGCATGGCATAAAAAGAAGGCTGTAAGTTCAGACTTAGAAAAGTAAACTAAAGGATCCTAACATGATTTCTTTAAAAACAAATACACACACACACAAAAGCCCCGAAAAAAAACCCCAACAAAAATCCCCTCACACTTGTTATTCTTTGACAGCTCTTTAAAACCCAAGTGCTGAAAGAAAAAGATAAGTCACCAGAAATAAAGTCAAACAAACACCATGCTGCAGGAGACTGTCATATCAAATTCCAGATGCCCAAGGGTACTTCCATGTATATCTTCAAGTGGTTCATATAAATAACCTACTACAATCGAAAACAACTTGTTTTCTATATTATAGACAGATAACATTATCAAACATTTTTCATATTCTTTTCTAATTAGATATTTTTTCTTTCACTTGAGATAAACAACCCTCAGCTTTCTCCATCCAAAAACAAGTGGTGGAATGAAATGCATAGAAAAATGCCTGTAATTCCTTTCCACTGAGCAAGCTTCTTCCATCTAGATGTAGAATTTTAACCAAATGAAACACAGTACTGTATTTAAATTAAGTTCTTCAAACAAACAAACAAGACAAATGTATTGGAGGGAAGTTTAAGAATTATGAATCAGAGATGAACATTCTCTGTGTACATGGGGAAATGTGACAGCCAAGAAACAATGGTTTCAGAGGAATACTAATCCACAGGTCTAGTGACACTTGGCTAAAAGAACAATTCGTGCTCTTACTGAAGTTTTTGTCCATAAACTTAAAACGTAGCATGAAGAAAGCCCTGAGATGTGTTTGGGGATGCTAAGTAAGCTACAGTACTGATGCAGGGATTTGTAAACCAATTTTTATTTAGTCATAATTTATGCAGAGAAAACTTAATAACAATACATTCTCATACACAGAACATGTGCTCCAAAATCCATTTGAACTTATGTGGTTTTATGTCAAACCCAGTATTACTTCTCTCAAATGCCAAAATTTCCTTTCCTCTGTACTCCTTTATTCCAAAAAACATCTTCATTCATGCTTTCCGTTTCATAACAAAGATCAGTTTTGTTACTTGTTATAGTTTTATCTTGCAAAACAATAGACTATAGTGCTGTAGCTGTTAGGATTACAAGAGGAATCTGATTAATGAAAAGATTTAGTCTAAGTGTTCTAAGTGTTCCAGGGCAATTACACAAGTCCTCTGGATTTCAAACTCTCCCTAAGGAAAACCTGAGCAACAATTATGGCCAAAGTTGTCCTGCTACATAGTATTTCATCACACAAATTACACCTACTGGAATAACCATAGGAAAACCAGTTTGGAGTACACCTGAGCTCTTCTCAGGGATCTCTGTAGCCACTGTGCAGTGGGCACAGCAGGGAACACCTCTCTAGCACATTCTCTGGCATATACAAAGCAGACAAAAGGCAGGGTACCTGCCTACCCTGTGGCATCAAAAACTGCTTTAGCACGTCCAAACCTGACATCTGATCAGTTAAAAGCAAAGCTTGACTGTAAAAAGTATATACCTTTAAATTAATTTTGGGTGCTCTAAGTGTCAAAATTAAGCACGTTGCCACTCAGGCAACTCCTTTGAACTAGTCTTTTAAAAATTAAAACAATTAATGGGCAATATCTTTATGTTTACCCATTTAACATGCCAATCTTAAATGAGTATCTGTAGCTTGAGTAGTTTTGAATGACCAAGATATACTGACGTGCTGGCTTTACACTGGCGATCAACTATTGGTAGATCTTAGGTCAAAACCAAAGCCTTAAGAAACTGCCTGAAGTTGACCTTAAGCAAGTAAGGATTTGAAAACATATGTATATAGGAAAAGACTCGGGAGTCTACCACAAAAAATGATTCGAAATTAGAAGAAAGAAAACCAAATCATGTTTGACTGCAGTTCAAATCAATATCCCATTTCCAGCTGTTAATTTCCTAGTAATTGTGTCTTATTTTCCTCTGCATGTGTTCTATTGAAAATGTCAGTCACACTGGGATAGTGAAAGACTTTTGATCTATTAACATGCAGATTTTATTAAAAACACCAAGTTCTACTTTCTTAGAACTTACAATAATTTTTAAAATTACATATTTTCTCATTACAGCAGAACAGAAGTAAGAATTAAGAACAGTAGGTATTCATTTTCACTGCAAAACATTTTATAGAATTTTATAGGTAATAAGACCTAATAAAAGCATATCATTCAGCAGAGATGGGCTGATGTTTATTTAGAAAAGTCTTACTGATGGGAGAAGCTGATTATTGAGAAAACAAGCCACAGGTGCACATCACATATATCAGGTGAACAACCATTCACCATCCAAGTGCCATGTCTTAGGGAATAAATTCTAATTCATTTTAAGTACACAAAGGGCCCATCTATATAGCCATAAAAACTTCAGTAGGAATGGTTTACATGACTATACTTGCATTAAAAACTACAGGTAAAGGGTCTCAAGTGCACTTTTAGCACAGGAGGAAGAGAGATACTGTAATTTTCCTAGCCAGGTTGCCTTGCATAGCACAAGAGAACTGCAGCTGTGATGGGTGCACATCCAAGCATGCTTTTCAACTACTTGTATCCTACAACAATCAGACCATGATTTTATAGACTCATATCATATCATATCATATCATATCATATCATATCATATCATATCAATGCAATTTAATGAATTAATATCGTAATAAAAAAGTGACAATAGCAACTTCCATTGGCAAAAAGTATTGATTGCATAATTTTAAAAATTAGGTATAGTATTCCAAAATAAATGGGTACTAGTAGCAAGTGACATTTGAAATTTTATAACACTTTCAAGGGGACCCAATTAGAAATAACTTTCTCATTTTTTCTTTAAATATGGCTAGTAGTTTCTCAACACTGTATAAGCAACTGTAAGGGCTGATTGGGATTTTGAAGTCTGCCACATACAAACTGTCATAGTAAAAGGAAATCAATGTTACAAAATGAATCATGACAGATGAAGAGAAGTGAGGCA